GAGTCGACCCTGCGCACAGATTCCTCCAGGACCTGTGAGGATGTTGAGGATATGATGTTCTGTAGATCACAGTGAGGAACATTATTCTGTTCCACAGATGCAGGTGTTTGCACATTGGTGAACAACTGATGATGTTTTTATACTTGATCATGTGACGGACCTGCTGACCCGGTCAGCTGCTGCTCCACCTCTTTTTTCCCCTCAAGTCAACTTTAAGACGTGTTGCTTCAAATTTAAAATGAGTCAGAAATATTGAGGAAATATTAAAATGTCTCAGTTTAAACCCCGGACGTGTTTTTGGGATGTTCTCTCTCTCTAACACACAATTATGCCAATGATGGTGAGCTCCCTTCTTATTTTTAATTATGAATTATTTGCTTTTCATTCTAAGAGTTTTTCTAAATTCAAAGCCATCAGGACACATTCAAAAACACGAGGGCTGAACACCAAAGACCGAAAACGCACTTCAGAACTTTTCTGTTCAGTCTTTATTCGACCAGGATACTCAGACTTAAGATGTAGGCACAGGTTAGTGTCACGCCCAGAGTTCTGCACTAACATACAGGGTAAGAGTGAATGAAGAAAGCTGTTCAACATCGTACACTCACATGTGAAAGCTCAGGAAACTGTAGACACAGAATAGACACAGGCATTAACGCTCAGGTGCTGAGTAACTGCTCTCAGATCATTTCAAATGATCAGCAGGACCAGCTCAGTAAGATAGTTGTGATACTGCAAACGTCGGCACTGATGTGATACCAGGTAAATACACAGACAATTATAAGCATCGATGCCAATACTGATACTTTAACCCACAAATGTAGCTTCTGTAGGGAACAACACTGTGTCAGGAGATCAGCCATTAATTTGCATACTTTCAGCTTTTATTTTGAAACTGTTTTTTGTAGACCTGAGTATAAATATCCCGTCAATAACGCTCGTCGGGTCAGCTTCTGTTGATTAGATTTAAATAAAACAAACGTGACAACCAGCATGAAATATATATTTTTATAGTGACTGCGTGGCGTACATTTTTTATTTCCAGAGAAATACTGACTTAACACAGTTCAGTGAGCTACATACTGAACTTAGAAACAAAGTATTGATCGTAGCTAGTACAGATCCAGCATCAGCGCTCATACTGATAGCTGGATTTAGTTGATTAGATGATCACAGGTCAGTAAGTACGATGGCAACAGACCAGCAACACTCACAGGAGTAAGAATCAGATAAAGTGTGAAGCATTGCAACGTTTTACTATTAAACACAGTTAAACAGGAA